AAGAAACCGGCTACAGCCCAAGAATTTTGAACAAAATTCCTAGCTATGAAGAAACAAGAATAAAAGACTGAAAAAGCAGAGGAAACTGGTCATTTTCTACTGTGGATCTAAATTCCCCCTGCTCCCCTTTGACCAGCTTCTGGACCAACAGAATAACAGTCTAAAAAGGATAAAATTGTTGAATTTTCCAGTTACAACCAATTGAAGGATTCAGGCTTTTATTATGCTGGTGCTTTGTTAGTTTTCCTTACAATTTCTACACTGAGGGACACATTATTTTGCTAATAGACTCACTGATTTAAAATCATTCCTGGTGTAACTCCAGTGAAGTACATGGAGTGTCACCAAGGATTCATTTATCCCGTTGTTGTTCCTAGAGAAGTTTTATTATAACATTAGAGTTTGGAAAAACATTTTTCTCCCATAACAAAATAAATGCTATATTGGGCAACTGCTTGTACTACTACGGCTCTACAACATATAACATGTCAGGGCTATGGAACAAAAAGCATTTATTATTGACACCTGCTGAAGTTTACTTTCAGGTACTTTCAGCAAGGCAATATGTCTAATGGTTAGAACAGGAGCTTGAAGACCTAGTGTGAAATACCGATTTCAATGAAATCAATGGTAAAAACAATCAACTGACTTCAATGGAGCCACGATTTCACCCCTCATTTCTTTTGCCCACATCTCCAATAAACCAGTGTGTGACCTTGAGCAAAACACTTAGTACCTCTATATCTGAATTCCTAATCTGTAAGACTGGGATATACTTACCTACCTTTATAAAGTGCTTTGAGATCCTTAGCTGACTAAATACAATCATAGAATATCAGGGTTAGAAGGGACCTCAGGAGGTCACCTAGTCCAACCCCCTGCTCAAAACAGGACCAATCTACAATTAAATCATCCCAGCCAGGGCTTTGTCAAGCCTGACCTTAAAAACCTCAAGGTTCTAGTAGTACAAGGTATTACTACTACTAGAACCACACCACATCTAATACAAGTAAAGAACACTACCTGTCATTCTCCATGTTTCAACACAAGAATCCTCAGAGGCACTCAAACATCTGGGTAGAGGCCTTCTTTATCCTACGCATTCAATGTGTGATAAACTGCACAAAAAAGGATCACTATCAGCATCAACCAACTAATCTATTTAAAAATAGAGTTATGAATCTCATCTGCAATATACAGTTCCTTGCACAGACTCTCTCTTAGAGGAAGGAAAGACTTGCCATATAAACCAGCATACAAAACAAAACATTTCAAGCTAAAAAGACACACACACGGTAATACAGTTAACATAACCTTTGCGGTAGTGCGAGTATATATTATTAGCGTCCACTACCCTTTGCCCCATGGCATAAACATAGAAGACGTACACAGATGTTTCCCCTGTAATTAAAACAATTGATTGCGAACACTGCAAACATCTGACATATGAGTAGCGCGATGCTTTTTCATTTCATTCCCTGCAGGAATAACTCACATTAGGTCAGGCGTCTGACAAACCCATGGTTCCTAAAATTACAGATGTCCCAACTAAGGGACTGGAAATCCATGACTCCCAATATAGATTGTATACACAAATCTTGAAGAGCAAGATTTTTGTGTTTCTCAATATCCTGCTGCTCACCAGAATAGAGCAGGCAGATTGTAGAGATGCAGTGACATGCATATACCTGGTCATGTAAAGACCCACACACCAAAACTAAGTTGGCTGGTAGGCTAATTTTAGGTCTGCTAGACTTAATATTGTTTTAATAACTAATTAAAAAGGGACTCGAATACCTTTTCTAATTTAGTTAGAAAATCTTTTCCCTGAACAGGATGAAGTAAGCCAATATTGCACTGAATCTGTATTTAAGTAGCCATTTGAGAATCACAGTCTCATCTTGATACACAGGAGTTATACAAGTATATTCCCAGAATCAAGTATTTTTAAAATACTGGCTAGCCCAAGTATGTCATTTAACAGGAGGGTCCAAGGATTCAAAGCAAATAAGGAGAGCCCTAAAAGCTGGCAGATGCCAGTTTTTTAAAACCTCCCACCTTGGCTTTTACTAAATCTAAGATAGAAATAAACAAAATACTTGAGTAGTGATACTAAGTGTGTGTCCTACTTTGATAGCACACACTGGGACATTTGGTGACTTGTCTGTTCCAACCCTCACCCAAAGAGACATTTGTTTGGAAGAACTCCTCCCACTTTCTTACAGTTATTTCAACTAATTGGTCATGAGTCTCCATATCTTGCTGCAGTGTTAGTTATGCATCTATAACATATGGCTAAATTATACCAGTGTAACTGATACAGCCCATAAAAGAACAGCCCTCTGTACATACAAATACTTAACATTTAATTAGCAGGTAAAATCTGTAAGAAATTATATTGGATACATTTTCACCATTAAAAAATAATCAATCTTTAACTTATGATAAGTTAACCTAAGGTATTTCCATCACAAAGTCTACTTATTTTAGTCCACTAAAATCCAGTGGACTCTCACCCGGGACAATTAGAAAGCTTTCCTGCGTAAATGCCATCAACTTCTGCAGAATTTTCATTTTAATAAATAGAAACCTGGTTTTAAAAAATAATAGTTTTGAAGATAACCTTCCAAATATGAACCTATTCTTCATCTACAGAATTTGGCATTCTCCTAGGACGCCACAGAATTCAGGATTTTTAAACAGCATTCACCATTTTGCAGCAGCCAATCACCTGACATTTTGTTTTCTGTATCCCTGCTCTTCTGAGAGAGTTTTGCAGCTACTAAAAAGGGAGTACTGGATTACAGTGTGAGCTCTCTGTATTCTTCTACGGACCCATGTAACAAGGAGTCAGGGAACCAGATCTGGAGGGCAGCTTGCAGCCAAAGAATGAGGGGAAACTAGAAGCATAGGTGGCAAGCAGGGCTGCCTGGAGACTAGAGCAGCAAGGACCAGGGAAAGGGGTTACTGAAACTAAAAATTCCTACTTTCATGGTAAACATGGGGGAGGGGGGGGGGAAATAATGCAGTTCTGTGCCAGTGAGTCGACTTAGGCAGCCTAGAGACTACAGAAAAAAAAATCCCTTAATGAAAATAATTGTTGGTGAATTTTACATCTATTAGTATTTTCAAATACGAGCCAGAGGTTTTTTGGGAGAGCTGGGTTAGGAATGAAGGATATTTCATGGCAGGAGAATAAACTGACATTGAGGGGGAATTCAGTTCAAGTGTTGTACAGAGTACATGGGGCCCTGATTACATTAGATGGGCATAAAGCAAAGAATGTGATATTGTAAAGTGGCCGCATCATTTCTTGGGCAATTATATCCTTCTAGCTGCATATTTATTATTGTTCCTATTATACAATAGCTGTACACAAAATTTTAGAACAGTGTGTGCCAAAGAAAGCATTTCCAATATACCATCTCTGTCTTCTCTGTCTGCTCCCACTGAACAGAAAAAAGAAACCTTGCACTCAAATGCATTAGGTCTGACACAAGAGCACAAAGCTGGCAGAAGAATGCTAATTGCAGCACAAGAAGTTTTCTTATGAGACATTAACCTTTTGTTGTGGTAGATAAACCAGAGCATGTCTTACAAGAATGTAGAAAGTTTATAAATTATCTATGATTATTGTGCATGGGCTCTGCTCAAGGTTTCTTCATTTTCTGCTCCACAGACTGCTACTATAGTTCTATTCAGATAAGAATTTCATATGGTATGGTTGTGCTGCCTAACAACATTCTACTTACATAAAAGTGCTGTTCTCCCACACAGAATGGTGTCTTTATATTAAAATCTGCTAAACTGTTTTTCAAGTTCAGAATCCTAGTTATACATGTTCTTGTACCTTTATAACAGATAATACACTTATTCTCCAAATAATTAATTTTGTTTTCAGAAAATGATTATCACTACTTAATAGTTATTTCCAGAGCATATAAGAAACAGTTGAACAGTTTATACAATTCAGGAGTTAGTATTTTTTTAAGCATGCAGAACTCCATGAATGCAGAATCAAAAAAGTTCCAAGGAATCAGAAGCTCATCATAACTTCCCCCTCAAAGGGAAGATTAAAAACAAGGCTGGAACACAATATGGTTAAAGATCACCTGCAACTTTAACTCCCTGAGGGAAACATCAATCTTCAGCAGTAACGAACCTCAGGCAAGTCCCCAACAACATTCACTAGCCACAATAGGAAGGGAAGCATTTCACAGGTAGAGATAAATGAAGCTCTCCTTATGTACTCAAAACCTTCACTTTCCAAGCTATGAAAAACCCAACCAAAGAAAGCAAACATGTTTGCCTCTCCCAGTTCTGACACTGTATCCACAGTACAAAAGAGGCGGCCCTGGATCTTACAGATCTTATATCAGTGAAAAATATTAACCTCTGAAACCAGATAGAGACAGTCTAGATTAATCCGTTGGCTTTCTACCCAGAACAGTTTCACTATTAATAATATGGTAGTGGAATTCCTACTAAAACTCCAGTCTTCACCCTCTATTTGAGCATCTTAATAACAAAAGCAACATTTGAAATCCCAAAAGAAATAAAATATTTACATACTAACAGAAGATTCTTCTAAGTAAGCCCATTTTAAAATTGGTCAGTATCATGCTACAAACCCAGGCTTATGCCCATACAAAGCAAACTGTGGTAAATCATTTCAACATGTGTACACTGCCCCAAAAAATGACATTATAGCAAAATCTACAATTAAGTAATGATTACACTGTTTACCAGTTATTGCTCAGATTAGAACAAAAAGCAAGGACTACACACTCAATCATGAAGGGAAAACAATTTGCACTAACCAGGGGCAAATATAATTAACTCTTGAAAATGGCACACAAAGGTTGCCATTATGAGTGTTCTTACTACAGTCCCTGTTAATCGTTCTCTTCACACATTCCCTAGTGGCAATCAGCTAAGGGAATAAAACAGTAATTACTTTAGAGAATCTCTGCCCAAAGAAATGCCAAACTTCCACTTACCTTTTACTGTAGATTCCAGAATTCCACAACGTTTCCCAACTCTTCCTGAGAAAACAAATATTTGATGGTATATTGAGACCCAGTAATCCAATCTATCACTTAAGAAAAACCTGTTCTCTCTCTAGATTTGAGTACCAGCACAATTACCATATGTTTTTCTCTCTGACTATATGTGCGTGTGTATAGTGTGTGCATGAAGAGGGTATCTCCATAGAGATCTGTATGGTGCAGACCTCCTTCCCACTCTGTATCGCTTTTTCTGTAGGAGAGTGTCAGTGTGTATGAGTATAACAGAGAGGTTACATAACCAGTAGATACAGAAACGTCTCTATCATTAGGCTTGTGGACTTGTCCTGCCAAATTCTATGCTTTTCTCGCAACTATTGCTGCCTGTCTTGGTAGCAGGGTTCCTGATCTAGATCCCTGTCTCTTTTGGGGACTGTGATGTCAGTAAGAGAGCTCCAGAGGAGAAAAGTGTCTGTAAGGAGGAAGGTCTCCGAGTGCCATGGGGAAGGGGGTCTATGCGGGGCAGGGAACAGATCTATGTGGGGCAGGGGAATGGATCCCCGAGTGCCAGCCAGGGGAACAGATCTATGTGGGGCAGGGGTCCCCGAGTGCCAGCCAGGGGAACAGATCTATGTGGGGCAGGGGAAGGGGTCCCCGAGTGCCAGCCAGGGGAACAGATCTATGTGGGGCAGGGGAAGGGGTCCCCGAGTGCCAGCCAGGGGAACAGATCTATGTGGGGCAAGGGAAGGGGTCCCCGAGGGCCACGGGGAGGGGTCTACACGGAGTCGGGGGAAGGGTCTACGCGGGTGGCGGTCCCGTGTGCCGTGGCAGGTGCCAGCACGGGGGCCCCGCAGCTCGTGGGGTGCCGGGGTCTCAGCCGCTCTCACACCTGTGCGGACAATGGGGGCCCAGCAGAGGGGCCCGCAGCCCGGCACCCCCTGGGGGAGGGCTGACTGCCGCGCCCCGGGAGGGTCAAGGTCTGACCTCTGCCGGCCCCGCCCCACGGCTACAGCGAGGAGCGCAGCGGCCGCCCCCTCTCCCTACCTGCCGCCCCCTCTCCCCGTCCCCTTCCTGCCTCCTCTGCGGCCAGCCCTGCAGCGCAACAACGCCCCCGGCCATTGGGCCGCTCCCTCCCCCCAACATGCGCCGCGCTCATTGGCTATTTCCGCCTCTCCCCCCACTCCTGCTCCCGCCCAGGGCCTCGTGGCACCGGGGCTGGGAACCCGGGACTCGCCTCCGAGAGCGGCTGCTGCGGCTCCGACGAAACGGGGCGGGGCCTCAGCGTCGGCTCGGCGCGACCGGGAGCGGGGCAGGAAAAGCTCCCGGAACCTGCGCGCCCGGCGGCGTCCCCTGTCGGAGCTAGTCCGAGACGGCGACTTCCGCTTCCGGGGCTGGTGCGTCTGGACTGAGCGGGGTGACGGAGCGGCCAGGTAGCGGGGAGGTCCGGCGGCGGGGGGGGGGGGCAGGCGCTATGGGGGAGGCCCCGGTGCTGGTTCCCCCGTCCCTGGGCAAGGGCATCCTGCGTTACCTAACCTTCCCCCTCCTCCCCCCCCGTGTGCTGCTGTGGCACAGACTCGTAGGCCTGGAAGAAACCTCGAGACTTGAGAGGTCACCCAGTCCCCTGCACTCCTGGCAGGGCCACGTATTACCTAGGCCACCCCGGCAGGTGTATGTCCTACCTGCTCCTAGCAATCCCCGAACTACCTTTGTCTCCACCCTCACCAGCTTGTTCTCTGCTTGTTTATGGGCCATTGGGGGCCTACACGGAGTCGGGGGAATGGCGGATGGCGGTCCCGAGTGCCATGGCAGGTGCCAGCCCTGGGGTTGCTCCGTTGACTTCAGTAGAGCTATGCAATCTTATATCCGCTAAGGATCTGGCCCTGTGGTCTTTCTGTTTGTTTTTCAGTGATGAGGAGCCAAATCAGCTCCATTGGGGGTTGGCACTCAGCTGTTGACACTATCTAGTTAATTAGAATATGGGTTTGGAGAGCCAATGTCCCTCATTAGATTGACAGAAACACTGTTTTTGTAGGCACCATGTGAGTTGAATAATTTTAAAATGTTGTTAATAAATAAATAATAAATATTAACATGATTAGTGATGTTAATTTATCTAACTTGGTGATTTCCAAACTGGTCTGCTGTCCACTTGCCATGGGCCGTGGAGAGCAGGCTGGTCATATGGAGGAATTTAGACTAGATGATCAAAATGGTTCCTTCTAGCCTTAAAAATCTGTGACTTAAGTTAGGGCTTAAACACTTTCATAGTTTGATTACATTGAGTCTGCTTAGTCTGATCAAATTCATTAAGAACAAGATGTCATTTATTATTTATTTTTGGTTTATAATACATAAAAAAAGCTGTCTCATGCTCTGGACATCTTTGATGTTTCTTTAAAATAGAGAATAATGTATCTGATTCCCACCATGTATTTGAGATAATAGACTAACCCCTTAGTGCAAAAAGATTAAAGTACTCCCCCCTCCCCAGATACCAGCTGTCGAACTTCACTTTCCCAAAAGTTTGAGTTTAAAAAAATGAAGTTTGCAACATACCACAAAGGTCAACAAACTTGAGTTATTTCAGCCCAAAGAAGGAGAGTGAGATCCAAATATGAGGGGTCCACATATACCTTTGCTGATGTCTGTGGTAACAATATTGCTCAGAGAGAGAGGCGATCTTTTAAGAAAGCAACATACAGGCTGTCCTAACTGGCATACAAATTGCAGTACATACCAATTTAAAAAAAATAGATTCTTTGACATACTTCTAAATATGGCTGTAGCTGTGTACAGTAAGACAATTGAGAACAGAGTACAATGTTTCATGCATTCTGAAATGTACACCTTGTCTCTCAAAATAAATAGTTAAGTTTCAAAATATTCATTTAAGTTGCATGTACTATATAATAAGTAGAGCTGGTTGGGAATTCTTTAACAGAACACTTTTTGTTGGAAGATGCTGATTTGTCAAAAACAAAACTTTGCAGAAACATTGGATTTCAATTGTACTTTTGTTGGGAAGTTTCTCCGGTGGAGATGGAATTTCTGGTGAAAACAAGAGAGAGAGGCATGTGCAAGCATGTACACAAACTCTCTCTTCCCCTTTCGGGTTCCAAGTATTTTAACACACAATTTGAAAGGAGTTGTGACTAACCAGGTTTATTAGGGTACAGTTTATGCAGAACTAAGCCATAGTAGCATTACATTAGAGTATTAAAAGAGTGTCTCCTAAAATGGTAAATAGTGTCTCCCATCATCCAGTATGAGATTTTTTGAAGCCACAAGACTATTTTAAAATTTAAATTATTCAAATAAGGAGATGTAGTGATCAGTGCTCAGAAAAAATGGTAATGTCATTTCCTAAATGGTAAAAAGATTTCCAACATGAAATATTTCAGTCAAAAATGTTAGAAATGTTTATACTAGACAGTGGTTTTGAAAACACATTAGCATCTGTGAAAGGATCACAATGACATTATAATACCAAATTTGGATAAACTGTCATCTCCAGTGTCCTGCAGTGTTTGCTTTTATATATTTAAATCATATGTAAATCCTTCCCAACTCCCTGGGCAACGTCTTTAATGTGTTCAGCTGAGTATCTGAAAATCTACATAGTGGTAGTATCTTTGAGTAGAAACTAACATTGTTCTGTAAAGAAGATAATGCTAGCGTTAATAAATTCCCTTACAATGATTATCAGAGAAGGATGTTGCCTTTTGGTACACTAGCTGTCACTGGAGTTAAGTGAACTGAACAGTTAGCACCCGAGGCAAATTGGACAAGTGCTGCTAATCAGAAATGATTTACCAAAACTAGTATAGCATAGCTAATCACAGCGTGAAGGATCTCTGAATTATTATTATTAGAACTATTAATAAAACATCTCTTTTTATTCTGAAGATTACTGTTTACAACACTGCCTCAGTGCGGTACGGTGGTGTTAGAAATCACTCTCCCTCTCCTCCCCAATTTCTGAAAGAGAACGTCAATCTTAGGAAGTTTAAACAAAAGTAAATTGTGCACCTTGAAAGAGCAGGGCCTTTTTTTTAACCTTTTCCTGCAGACATGGGGCATGAACATGAACATCGTCATGGGAAAATGGAACTCCCTGACTATAAACAATGGAAGATAGAGGGTACTCCGCTACAGGATGTCCAAGAAAGACTGGCTAGGCGGGGTCTTAGAGATCCATGGCTTCGGTAAGTGAGAGAATACATCATTCAGATCTATAGATACACGCGCGTGCACTTCCTGTAACCTTGTGATGTAGTCATTGTGGATGGTTTCTTTTTAGCAAAAAAGCTGGAAAAACACCTAGACTGCATCAGTTATCACATAAAAAATGTGGTTGACGTTCATTTTTTGTGTAGAGGTTACTAGTATTGCATTACAATGTGAGGAAGCTCTGAGGGTAAAGTTCAGCCATACTTTGTGATGTTTTATGATGAGATGAAGACAAAAGTCTTTTCAGATTTTGTTCTGCAGAATGGAGAGGTGAGCACACTGTTTACCTTTAGCCTGAGCTATCCCACAAATACTTAAGTTGGGGGGGTTCCATGATCTTGGCCTTGGTTCAGCAAGGCATTGAAGCAATGCTTGAATTTAAGCATGTGAGTAATCCTGTCCCTATTCAGCAAAGCACTTAAGCATGGTCTCATGAGGTCCCTTCTAACCCTGATAGTCTATGATACCAAATCTCATTGATTTCAATGGAACTTCAGTACAGTATGTGCTTAAATGCTTTGCTGAATAGGAACAGGATTACTTGTGTGCTTATAGACAAGAATGTTTTGCTGAATTGGGGCCTTTAATTGAAGTTTTGAACTGTAGTAGCAGATGGCTTGGGGTTTCAGTCTACTTTGTTCTATGTTTGCTAAGCAGTTCATGAAATCATATAGAAAACTGTTAAGGTGAATCAAGTCATGGAAGACCTGATCTTAGTCCCTTGAACTGGGGAGGTATCTTACTCCCTAGAGCTATTCTGCATTGTTTAGATAGCTGTAGAGACAGGGCTTTGACCTGAGTCACAATGGGGAGAAATATATAACATTCTCCTTTACCATTCTTCAGCCTTCGGGAATGAAAAGTGGCATGCTTCATGCTCCATTGTCCCATTCTACAGGAAGACAAAAGCCCTACATTAGCTATTCCATGGTCCGACAGGGAAATCGTCGTACCTGCTTCCTCCAGTACTCTTATGCAGTTTTTACCATGTGTTTTAAAGCAAGCTGTTGGATGGATATTGCTTTATCACCTCTTATTATGACCTATTGGGGGTGGGTTTGGATGGATTGAGTAATCCTTTATTTCCTTTTATTTGTTCAGGAGATAGTGTAAGAGTATTACATAGTCTCTAACTTTATGTTAATTACTATCTTTTAATGTTACCTGGAGTTGTTTTACCAGATATTAACTATCTACGGTTATCAGCTGTCTCTGAACCCTACTTTCTAAGTCTCCGACATTCCGTTTTTTATTCTTGCTTCTATTTCTTGTGAGTTCAAGCTTATAAAATTCACTCTAGTTAAATAGTTAATTTTATCTGGAGCACAATAATATTTCTCTTTTCTGCAGGAGTCCGGTTTACTACCACAAGAAAATGGCCATACTCCCAACACATTCTTCCAAAGTGCTGCATAAATAGCCAGTAAATTAATCCCACACCTTCTCCTGCACATGTTTCCTAAGTATATTGCTCTGAAACTGCTCCAAAATACTGTGTAGGGCTGAGAAAAACTCATGCTATTTATTCCCTTTCCTAGGTTAAAAATTGCTGTGTTTCTCAGAACATTGGTTTGCATTGGGGGGAAAAAAAAGAGTTGTTTACTGGATTTGTTGAATATTGACTAAGGGAGAAAGTGCAAAATCTCTTAGTAGATTAAAGTATTGGATCTCTCCTGCATATCTTTGCCTAATGCAGCATTATGTATAAAATAATGCTTAAATCCCACACTGAGACAAGCCTCTAGTACTAGTTTCATAGCAATCTCTTGAGTGAAGACATGATAGAAGTATCAAGATCTGTTTACTACATTTATTAAAGTTGTCGTTCTGAAGAATATCTTGTAGTAAGAATGCTAAAGTAGCAAAACCCCTCTGGGCTTTTTTCTTTTAGTTGGTATTGGCACCTGTCAAAAGGCTGGGAAATCTAAGACCAGTGTAGCCTAATTTATGTACATACAGCTTCTATGTAGATTTAGCCCTGATGAACAAATACAGATTTACAGCCCTGAAGACTGAAATTCTTTATCCACTTCATAGGAACACAGTACTAGCACCTACAGAACAAGTCTCCCATCCAGTGTGCCTTAACCCTGAGCTAGAGAGATCACCTACACAGGAGAAAGGGGTAGATGAGTGTCTACAGACCATTCAGTCCTTGACAATTCTGCTGAGACTCTCATCAAAACTATCAGTATCAAGTGCGGTGACAGTGGTTCAATCTTATCCTCTGGTAGATTGTTTTTTCCTTAGCTATGTCTCTGTGTCCTCTGCAAATATGATAGTGGAATCCAGAGCTTTGTTTCTGGAACAGACTATATTATTTGTGTTGGACTTAATATTTCATGTGGATCTGATAAGTCTAAGTACTTTATGACTGAAGTGGTAGTAACAGCTGTTGTTCACATACATGCTCAGTGAGGTAAAGGCTTGCATAAGACAGAAAGTTATGGTCTTTAGACAAAAAAATAGAAAAAAAAGAAATTCTGTCTTTTTAAACAGTACAGAAAGGAGTATTCAAACTATGCTGAGAGTGTTAATTTCACCAGTAAGACTCAAGCAGGGAAATGTCTAGTGCTTTACAATTAGATGGTAAGCTCTTTGGGTCAGGGATCGTCTTTTCGTTCTGTGCTTGTACAGCACCTAGCACAATGGGTCCTGGATGTTAAGGTAATACAAATAATGATAATTACACCTGCCTCATTCAAAAGTGGCACAGGAGCACTTGCTTCATTCACTCCATATCTTGTATTTAAACGACTTGTGGGTTCTGTTTTTCCGGCATACAGAAAGTAAGTAGGATACAGTAACAGAAGACACTACACATGTATAGCTAAAGTTGCAGGAAAAAAATATTTTGTTACTGAAGATGTCTTATGTGATCATGTAATATGGTAATTAAAGGTTGGCATAACAAACATGCATAAGGGGGCATAGTTAACTTCATAGTATTTCCTGATATTTGAGTGCTTTAACTATGGAAACCTTACATTTTCAATGCATAGCTTTTTGGAATATGTTTTTTAACTTTTTGCATATAAATATATTTGTGTTGGTATATGGAATCAGAATGGGTCTTCTAACTTCGTTCTATCTGTCGGTTTTGTTTTTTCCTAGCAATGACGCATGGAGATATATGGGTGGCTTTGCAAAACCTCCCACTGTTGTGGACGTTCTCACCAAAGGTTTCAAGTGGGGATTCGTAGCCTTTGTGGTAGCACTTGGGGTCGAGTACGCACTGTTTCCTCCGAAGAAAAATGGAGGACATCACTGAAAATGGAATAGCAGAACTTCTCGAAGTTATTTACACAGTTCTAAATTAAAACATGTTATACAATAGCTTACTGCTTTTGTTGCACGTGTAAAGATGCCTATTAAAATTTCTCATTGGCAAGAGCATGTCTCTATGGCTTTGTCATCTTTTCTTGGAGAAAAAAAATAAAACTTTCCAATGATGTTCCCAAATCTAAACCTGACTTGATTCATGGAAAAACAAGATCTGCATGAGATGGTATGTACCATCTATTGAACTAGTGTGGAAAATAATATTGGTACTTTCAAGCTCTGCCAACTTGAAACTCCAAAAGAAGAAGTTACTTGTACCGTATTGTGCAGCTCTTCACAATACCTTCACCCTCCTTTCTTGCAAGCTTTGATCAGCTGTGAAATAGTGAACAGATAAACAGTTAACTAACACTAGCCTTCAGCCATAACTCCATACAGTGAATTGGCGCTGCCCTCAGAGGTGTTACTCCAGGGCTAGGCTGTCTGCCGACTTAGGCTGACATCACAGTTGCTTCATACTTTTAAGATTATCTGTGCAAACAAATGGCTAAAGACTTTTTTTTTAATGCAAACTTAGATTATGGAGCATGTGTAATTTCTAAAAACAGCTTATTAACTGCTGACATAGGGCTGTTCTTCATTTCAACAGTTAGTTTGTTAGTATACTTGAATTCCTGCCTTTGAGCTAGTCTTGCTCACTGTAAAATGACACTTGATCTACATAGAGTGATTGGCTTAGCAGCAGATGAGTTGTAACTCAGCTGCTGCATTCTCCAATGTCAGCAGCAGTATACCTTAACACCCCCCCCACACACACACACACAATTCAGCTCGTTTAAGCTTAAAGTACCACAAATGAGATAGAGATCTTTGTGTGAATGAGTGTTGGGTTAAAAAACATTAACTTTTGGGGAGATGGAGAGTTTAAGGAAGCTCCTTGTGAGGTGTTGGCAGGGCAGCTATGGGCAGGTCAGCAGCTGGGAGAGGGGAACAGGAATCGATTTCCATTCTCCTTACATTACCTCTGTGGGGCGCCAGGGGCTCCTCTTAGCGTGGGCCCATGGGAGTTACAAATTTTGCAGACAAATATCTAAATAAATTGTTCCCTTAGAAGCACAGAGAGTTTAAATCTTCCCCAATGTCTTTCAGGAAGAGTGGGATTGGTAGACTGCTATAAGCAGCACAAGAAAAAGATTGTGATAGTTTCCTGTTCACATCAACGATGGTGTAATAAAAAAATACAATGGCTTTTATTTTACACAATTTTTGACAACTTTTCGTGAATAAGTGGAAGAACATCAAGATAGAAACAAATACTACATATAATGGCTGATACAGTGTCACTCAGTGAAAATAACAAGATTTCAAGAGTTGGATTAATTTTTTTAATTTGATGTTATGAATACATTGTATGATTAGAGCACCTAATGTCCCAATTTAGATATCAACAGAACATTGTCACACATTAAATAATTTAGAATTCTAATATTTTCTCCATTTATGCTGTTTTCAACAATAATTAAATTGTTCTGTTGTATGGATTTAGTTCATAGATGTATATATAAGTCTTCCATTTTTTACTGTTTTTGAATATGAAGACAAGCTGATTGCTCTTAACTAATCCTTTTTAAAAAGAGATACACCTCACTTTAATATCCTACGTGTGTTGTAAAAGAAAATTTGCTGTGAGCTGCTGCCAGATTTAACATTTGTTTATATATTTCAACTCAAGGATTTTATTACAAGATGTGAAGGATGTTGTTACAGTGGCTGCTTTGGTCAAGATTTTAAACTTACTAAATTATCCATTCTGTGAAATGTCTGCCAATGTGCAAGTTGGAACACTGAACTATAAAATACATACAGCCTCTTCTCTGCAACATAGCATTATGTAAGGGGTTAATTCTGATCTCAACTGTATAGCAATCATGTTGCCTTGCGTCTTGAGACTCCAAAAGCAGGACAAATATAGTAAAAGATTTCAAAAATACTAACTTTGGAGAGAGGTTAAAATAATTGGATTTGTACAGCTTCCAGAAAAGATCTTTCATTGGGAATGTCAGAATCATAGCTACCAAAGAAAGGAAGTCAAGGGAAATCATTTTCTTGTTGCAAGTGATGCCCTAAAACAGAAGAAAAATGTAAACACAGTCATGGACCACCTTTTAACAGTAAGAGACAATAGAATGATTTGCTAAGGAAAGTTGCTGAATTGTCAGCATTAGAATACCACTTGAGGTAAAGCTAAAGAGGGAACAAACATGTGCTGTAGAAATTTGATTACTATCGTGCATTGAGTCAGTGGAATGGACTGCATGACTTGAGATTCTTTCCAACCCTAATATTTATTATGAACTCTGGTTTTCTGCACTAAACACTTGATGCACCCACCTGGCTATTGGCTACTTACATTCATCCTTTTTGGTTAAATAGCACCTTCTTTTTGAGATTTATTTCCTGTCTGTGTTTAGAGTTACAGTTTCTCACTGTTATGAATAAAATAAATTACTATTTACCCTCTTATCTATTTTGGTTCTGTAGTGCTATAAATTGAGCTTAATTGTGCTATAGCTCCTGCATCATCAAAAGAATTGTTAGCTAAAAGTTCCAATTGCAAAATATTTAGTAGCAGTGATGTTAGCAAGATCCTATTTTGTCATTCGGATCCTAGGCTGAGTTTGCAGAGCTCGGACTGAAAAAAGTGGTAATAGATGTCACCTTTTTAACTTGTAAATGGATCTGAAAACCATTTAATAATAAATCTAAAGCTCTGCAGTGTTATTTGTTACAGAATTTTTAAAATTACTACACTTCAAGGTTTGGGTACCAAGAAATCATGGGTGTTAACAGCTAATCAACTTAACACTGCATGTAAAACTCACTCATGGTACTAAAGCATTAGTTTGCTTGTATACCAAAATTCACTTCAACAGTGAAGATAGATTCCAAGTTCACAGATGTTTCTGCCTGCTGCCAGAAGAGATGGAAGTAGTGAAAATCCTAAAAAGGTTCACATGGTGTACTCTATAGTCAGATAGTTCCTTCATCAAAATGGATACCTACTCCAGAGGATACTGAAGCAAAGGACAGAGCCCAAGACACAAGCCATGCATTTGCCCCAGCCCATGGTGATGATACCCCTCAAGCTGGTGTATGGGGTTTTTGGTGCGAGTAAAGGAATGCACAAGCTTTGGAATGTTTTCTCTGCATGAGAAATAGCTCTGATTATACGGATTGTTAGGAGTAAATGAAAATATGTTATCTGTATTTTAAACTATAGTCAATGAATAGTGGTAGGTCTACATGTTTATAGCCATTTAATCAACATTCTGAAAATGCATTTTATGAACAGCAGAAAGAAGAAATATTCCAGTTGCCCTTTAGCAGTAGAGTTTGACTGTCCATATAGCACCTCATTCATCCTTGCCATGTAGTCCAACAGCTATAATGTCTTTATGTAGCTTGAACCAATGCAAAGTGAAATTGAAATATTGAAATGAAGAATAAAACCAACATGAAAAAGCAACAACAAAAATATTAAAATAAATCCAGTACAGGTAAATATCATGGTCTGTCCCCAGTTATCCAGCACCTACTACCTTTACCTACCTCATGCTACCGACAGCACAGCGTGTCAATTACTTCAAAGTCAATGGAACTTAAGAGTGTGCTTAAATGCTTTCCTGATTCATGGCCTTAGAAATATGAAGGTAAGTGCTGTTACAAAAACCTAGACAGATAAAATAGTGATTTTTCCTTGCTTATAATGTCCATGGATATAACATCACACATGGCTATAATGTCTGTGTTATCACTTCCCCTTCTGATCTGCAACCTCAGTTTAGCCTAGGATAACAGGGAGTATGCATGTTCACAGCATTACATAAGGAGAGGTCACTGTTTTCCTTACCCTACTTTTCTAGGACATTGCTTTAACACCAAATGTCATGCAGTGTGCTTTCAGTGTGAGGATGCTGGCAAGAGAGGGTTTCTTGCAGTAATCGTATCATGATACAATACAGGAGTGCAAAAACTCCTGATTCCTATTTCCTGGAGGGGGAGGGTTACATTTGCTAAAATGCCACTTTTTACACAACCCTTATGACAAAACTTTATTTTCACAGCCCAGTAAACATCTGTGATCATGGGATTGCAGCTGTACTTTTCAGTGGAGTTTTACATCTCCATATGATATTTTCCCAAGATGATGTTTATACAACAACAGCTTGTTTTACTAAGGCTTGTTGTCTTATATAATCCTTTCTTAAGCATCTCATGCTCTTGTGTCATTCTCTGTAAAGCAAAACAAGACATGCTGTGTAAGGTACACTGTACAAAATATTTCCACACTGAGCCCCAGGTGCCACTGCCTGAATACACATATGGATTGCCTGGTATGCATTGTTTGTTCCAGCTGGGTCCAGTATGAAATTGTGCTTATGATCTCTTGGTTTTAGATGGAAGCATAGAAAAAAAAAAACAAGTATTACTCAAGCTAACACTAGCTACAGTATTTTTTTAAATGCCGATGAGTCTTGTGCATCAGACATGTGTATGCCACCCACCAAACACGCTCTTTGCAGCACAACAGGAATACTGTGTAGCGGTGGTTGGTGTGCCCTTTTGATGTGCATACTTTTGATTTTTTTGTGTATGCTATGATGGCCTTAAGGTATGTCATGAGCTGCTCGTGGTTTATCTTAGTTCTCTTACATTCTTCAAAGAACCTTTAAAAACTAATCTGCAGATGCTATTGTGTTGAGATTTTATTTTCTGTATCTCATTGTAATTTTGAATCGTTATAGAGCACTCCAAGTGCTTCAGCATGCAGGTGTGTATTTATTTAGAGCCTGATCTTGCTTCCATTGAAATCAGTGGGTGTGTTTCCTTAACTTCAGCGGTGCAGGATCAGGCCCTTAAATGTCTTGGGTCATATATAAATGGCATAGCTCCATTAATTTCAACCAGCTGAAGGTCTGGCCATACATTATTATTTTTATTTTCAAAGACTCTCGGAGGTACACTGAAAATGGGCTTGAACCCAGTATCTGTAATCTGTGTATAAAGCCTGTAATGTAATTGTAGATCCTTCTGGGTAAAATGTGCCATGT